CTGACGCCGCCATCGTACTAGAGCGTGCCGGGCGAGGCCGTGCACCTGATGACCGAAAACTCCTTCGGGGAGAGCGCCAGTGCGCCACAGTCCTGCTGAGATTCGAGCCTACTGTGCAGTGCTCCGTAGTCGGTGTATCTTGCGAAACCTAGCTGCGGCTGGGCTCTGTCGCTTCCTGGCTTTGGCTTGTGCCCGTCGAGTAGCCGCAGCCGCGTCAACTCCGAGGTCGACGGCCGTGGCGGTCGCATTAACTGGGATGTCGTACTGCCGCAACTTCTTGGCTAGCGATTTGCGGACCTTGGGGGGCGGAGCCGATGAGGACCGTCTTGTCAGAGATAGGCAGCTCGAACTCCTTCAGACCGTCGCAGAGCGTCTTGGCGGCACGGGGGAGGTGCTTCTGCAGTGTGCGTAGGACTCCTTCGACTCGAAGGACAGTGTCGTCTACGAAGGTCCACGTCTGGGCAAGCTCTGCCTGAGCTTGGGCTTGCCGTAGAATAGGAAGTAATATGAGTCGTGCCAAGGTCGCGCCGTGCGGGGAGCCTGCGATGATGCCTTTGGAGGCGAAGATAGGCATACTCACCCATTGTCGACTGCGCAAGAATCTGGGCGCCAGGAAAAGCTGCACTTCCAGTAGTAGAATGATGGGGGGAACGCCGCAGTTGAGGCCGACCATAATGAGGTTGGCGAGCTTGATATTGTCGTAGAACTTCTGGATGTCTAATAGCAATGTGGCTGACTGTATGCCAAGTGCTGAGGCTGTCTCGTCTAACAAGGCCCTGTGTAGGGCGGCCTGGAGAGCTGAGGAACCTTTGATGGCTGTAGTCCAGAAGTCGTCCAGGCCGTGGGTCCAGGATGTAGATGCAGTCGATCTGATGCGAGACCAGAGTCTGGCCATGTGAGGTAGCATGCCGAGGACCCTGTCGCCTCCAGACTTCTTGGCTGCGAGGGCTGCAATAGTGCCTGAGATTTGTAGTGGCCAGATGCCTGCATGCTCTACTGCGTTGGGGATATCCGCATAGGCTTCGACTGCTGGTTCTGGTAGTCGATGGAGGTCACGAGGTCCAAGGGCGTCAACTCCATGTGCTTTACTGGGTGGCATGCGGCCGTGAAAGCGGTGTACGATCTCGGCTGTGATGGGCTCGAGTGGTTGGCGAGCGGCTGCTGCCTTGGCCTTTGACAGCGCCTGTAGGATGTCGTCGGGGGTCTCGGTGGCCTGCCATGCGTGTTGCCATTGTTGCTTCTTGCTGTCCATGATAACGGTGGGGTCGGCGATGGTCTGGTTGGTCGTGTAGGCCTCGATGTGACGTACGGGCGCAGGCTTGACATGGGCGTGTAGTACTCCAGGGCGGTGTTTCCATTGCTTGGCGAGCCAAGCACCGTAAGCCCTCTTGGACTTAGCGAGGGCGGCGGAGAGCGCTCTGGAGGCCCAAGTAGCGGTAATAGTGACCAAGTCGTCGGTGTCCTCATTGTCCAAGTGCGGGGCCCAGACGAGTGCAAACCAGCGGAAAATGGTGTCCTCGTCCTTCTCGAACTGGAGGTCGTGAAAGTGAGTGTTGAAGTGGCCCGCGCGCTGCTGGATGATGGAGGCCTGCTGCTGCATGAGCGCTGCGTGCTTGGGCTTGTCGTGGAGCGCAGCGTAGCGCTTGATGAGGGTGAGCATGATCGCCCACCATTCCGACTGAGGGCCATGTACGTGTACGCGGCCTGGGGCGGCGGCCGTCTTCTTCCAAGACAATTGGTAGCCTTGGGCTCGGCCTGTGAATGCTGCGGCTTCCTTGGGGTCGATCTGGTGGTGGCTGATCATGGTGTTCTCGAGCGCCGTGACCCATTTGGCGTACTTGAGGTTGAGGTCGTCGGCGTCGTGCTCCCAGTGAGTGTACACGAAGTGCGCGTGAGGCTGCTTACAACGTGTGGGTACAGCTTGCTGCCATTGTTCCTCCCAGAGGTCGCTAGGGATAGCGTACGGGATAGGCTCCTGTGCTGCTGACTCGTCTTGTGGCTGGAGTTGTGCTGCTGCTTGTTGGAGTTCAGGAGGTAGATCGCGTAGGCGTGCTGCTCGAGCTTCTGCTGTTTTACGTTTCTTGGTGGCGGTATTGCTGTTGGGGTCTGGTGGGATCCTAGGTCTGTCCACTATGGGGAATGCCCTAGGGGTATGGATCGACTGATACCACCAGGGGTCTGCGCTGCCTGCTCGAACTTCAAGGCCCACGTGGGTGGCCCAGGGGACGGTGGGGCACTGGCGAATGGAGAACGTGTGCTCGATGCCAGTCTTGACCAATGCGAAGTCGAGCGTGAGTCCCTGGCCCTTGTCGCACGTGGCGGATCCAGGCGCTCGCACGATGGTAGCATTCCATTTGGCGGGCCACTCTGTTGCTGCGAGCTGCTCAGGTGTCATATTCCAATCGGCCAGGATGATCCACGGGTCAGTGAGCATAGTAACGAAGGCTCCCAGCGAGAGTAACTTATCGTGCACTGCACCCTCGATCTGCCTGTGGGGTTCCAGATACGCTGCAATAACAACCAGGTTGCCAGAGCGTCTGTGCCATACCATGGGCGTGAAGCCGCGGAACGGGTCGGGCCTGCGCTGGGAGATGGCCAGGTCGCGGAGGTGGTTGAAGGTTGTGGCCTGGACGTGGTACCTGGAGAGGATAATCTCGCCACCCGTGTTGCCTCCGTCGGATATGCTGGTCGGCGTGGCTGTAGTCGATGATATCCTCCAACCATCCGCTGCTAGCTTGTCGTAGATGAAAGGGGCTTTACCATGCGAGATGTGTGTTTCAACCAATGCCCCCATCTGATATTGTTTGCCTGGCCCTGCCAGCCATTTCTCCGACTGTGGCCCCCACTGAGTAATGTTGGAGAAGAACAGGGAGTGATCTGACGGCGTGGGATTCGTAGGGCCTTCGTCTTGGTAGGCGGGGCTGGGGTCGGGTCTCGGGCTGCTGGGCTTCCAAGGGCCTTTCGCAGCGGTCAAGTCGATAGCTTTCGCCATCTCATCGCCCCCTACCAAGGACTGCGTCTTGGGCAGGGCGGCATCAGGGTGTGCCGTTGGCAACGGCCCCCCTGGTACCTGTACCATATGCCTGTCGACAGCTTGGGCCGTCTCATCGCTCCCTACCGAGGACAGCGTCTCGGGCGGAGCGGCATCAGGGTCGGCTCGCGCGGCACGCTGCGGCTGCCCTGGGTCCCATGTCACTGCGTCGACGGCCTGTGCCGCCTCATCGCCCCCAACCGAGGACAGCGTCTCGGGCGGGGCGGTAGCGTACTGCGCTGTGGCTGCGAAAACGATGTGGGCGTCCAACTCGGCCAGCTCGTCGAACGGGTCGAGGACTGCGTCCATTGTGTTGATGATCGGTGGGTTGTCGTAGCTCTTGGTCTCTGACGGTAGGCGTCCCGTCTCACCAATCCGTCCAGGGTCGGGTAGTAGTCGGCTAAAGAGGCTGCTGGGCTCCAGCCACGGCGGTCGCGGTGGGCTTGCGCATCTGGCTGAGCATCTTCTGTGCCTTGTCTTCGAGGTCGGGGTCCTTGTTGATCGCTGGTACAGGCTGTGCGGCGAAGCTGCCGTCAGAAGTAGCGCCAGCAGCAGGTGCGGGAGGCTCATCGCTTGGCGCCGCTGGCGAAGAGGCCGCAGAGCCATCAGCGTCCGCTGCGGCTGCCGCTGGGGGTTCGCCTGCTGCCGCCGAGGCGGCGGGCGGTGGTCCACCTCCCTCTCGGGCATGACCGTCCTCGTCGGACCGCTGCCGCTTGGAGGCGAAGCGCGTGCGCATGGTGCTGGCCTCTGCGCGGAGCTGGCTGATGCGGCTGGCGGTGTTGCCGAAGAGCTCGGTGACCTTGGCCTTGAGCTCCGTGGCGAAGCGCTGTTGGAGGGATTCCCATGCCTGGCGGTCGCTGTCGTCGATGTCAAGGCCTTGGAGATCGAACGCCGAACCCGCTTCGATGGATATGTCACCGTCCTCGAGGAGGCTGGTGAGGTTGAACGTTGGGTTCTGCTGCGAGGCCGTGGGAGTAGCCGTGCCGCCCTTGCGAGCGACTTGGAGTGCATCGAGAGCGGCTTGGGCCTCGGCCTGGGCTTCTGCCAACTTGTAGGCGGCCTCCTCCGACGCCGCCTTGCGCTCGGTGTACCAGCTGAGCGCCTTTTGCTCGCTCTCGAGCAGCCTCTCCAGGTTGTTCTTGCAGCGGCGCTCCGTAGCCTGGGCGCGGCTGAAGATGTCGTTGAGGTCGGCTGGCGTCTGCGGCTGGGGCGGCGGAATCTGCGACTTGATACCGTCGATGGCTGCCTTGTCGATGTGGGGGGCGATCGCCTGGAGCTCCGCAAGGATGTCCTCTGCGGAGCGCGCCTTGGGGGTGTCGTTCTTGTTGGCCCACCAGTCGTCCTCTTGGTTCTTGCCATTGCCATTGCCGCGGCGGCGGCGGGACTTGGGCCATGACGCCCACGGTTCCCATCCACCGTCAGGGCTGGGCTGCTGGGTGGAGCTGGAGTCGGCCTGGGCTGCGGCCTTGGCGCGGGCCGCCCAGGCACCTTGAACTGGAGGCGGGGAATCTGTCCACGGCGCCAAGGCTTTGCTGCACCAGTAGCACGTCTGGTTGGTCTTGTAGTTCCAGGCGTACGAGCAGGAGTAGCACTTGACGTAGGCGCTGCGCTGCTGCGGAGGCGCCATGGACGAGCTGAGGAACAGAGGAAGCTCACCTGCGGGCTGCAGGAGGCACACGGAGGGTTGAACAAAGCTGTCGGGCTCAAGAGCCCTGGCACTGGCCGCGGACTAGCGGTATCCACTTGTTCCACTGTGGAACTAGGCATCTTGAGCCAAAATGGCTACGGAGGAGAAGGAGGAGGAGGAGGAGGAGGAGGAAGAGGAGGAGGAGGAGGAGGAGGAGGAGGAGGAGGAGGAGAAGGAAGGAGGAGGAGGAGGAGGAGGAGGAGGAGGAGGAGGAGGAAGAGGAGGGGGAGAAGGCAGAGGGCGAGTGGCTTGCCTGCCTCGTTCCCCCATCCTCCCAGTCACGATGGAGGACAGCGTCAGCAGGAAGGAGAAGTCCCCGCTGGAGAACAGCCAGAACAACACGAACGTCGTGCTGAGGAAACCGCTCCACACCTCCAGGGTGCAACGCGAGAGAGGCCCGATGGCTAAAGGATTGGGACAGCAGGCTGCGCGGCGGGGGAAGAAAGGACCCAAGCCGTGCACGAAAAGTACCGTCGGACCCAGGCCAGAATAGTTAACATCCCTCAAGAACATGAGAACCCCTCCGTCGGCCAAAACAACCAGGACATCTGAGGGTTCCCTCCCCGGGATGCACGAAAGCATCCAACAAACACGAGGAAAACTGGGGGCACACTCCCCGCCGACCTCGATCTTCTACCTCGGTCCGACTGCTGCGGCCGAGATGGGGAGGCGGCCCTGGACCTCCGGAAGCCGCCCAGGCAAACTATGTGTTTGCCTGGGGGCGGCCGGCCCCGGGCCCCCCAGACCACGTTTTGCCATCCTCGGAGCGCCCTGCGGCAGAGAGAGGGCGAGGAGGAGGAGGGGGAGGGGAGGGGGACCCTGCAACTGATTAATCGGCGGTGGACAAACCTCCCTTGGGTAAACCTCTCCTTGGCGAAAACGGCCCGGGACCGAAGTCGACGGACCTGGACCCGCAAAGATGGCGGCCGCGACGCCCTCTCGCGAGCCGAAAACGACCAATTCCTTTATCGACATGTCAGGGTAGGAGGTCTAGCAACCTCCGAAGTAAGCCGGCGCGCCCAGGCGCGGTCCGCGAGCCGCAGCGTCACGGGCGCGCCACGCGCCGCGCAGGGGGGCCCGGAGCACTCTCTCCCGCCCCCCCTCGCCCCAGAACTGCAAACGCAGACTTGAGGAGGCAACTGGAAGAGGGAGGAGGAGGAGGAGGAGGAGGAGGAGGAGGAGGAGGAGGAGGAGGAGGAGGAGGATGCCGGGAGGTCTTCGTCGGATAAAAATAAGGAGAACGAGACCCCCTGTGGGGGGCTCTGCTGCGCCGGACTAGGCCGTGGATGGAGCGGGATGAGGCCTTAGTGAGCGGGATGAAGCCGGATGAACCGGGATTCAGCGGGATTGGGCCCGATTTCGGACCAGAGCAAGGTCAGAATTTGACCTCCCGGGAGTTGCATCCGAACATACATGGTGCACTAGGACATATGGAAGCTAGCCTCAGCAGGTAGCAGATCGAGACCCATTTCTACCATCCTGGCCTGGAGGGGCAGGCAGCTTGCACAAGACCTGGATGTGAAGTATAGGAATCGGTCAAATCCGCCGGCCCCCTCCAGGGGCTCAAGGCTGCAAAGGTGTATGCTGTCTGCTGTCATGCGTTCTGTGTTGTCAATTGTTGTTTGGCCTTTTCTCTTCAGTCCTGGTTCCTGCCTCCTGTTCATTGTCTGCTAGCGCGCCCCGCCGCGCCACCAAACAGCCAACGGGGTAGGGGTGAACCTCAAATCCTAGCTGCTCCGGGCAACCCCAGGATTCTAACGGTGACGCCGCCGCGCGGCCAGAACGGCCCGAGAGTCCTCCACGATTGCCCGAAGAGGCTCCGAGGAAAGCCTCAGGAGCCCAAGACGGCCCAAGATGGCTCCAAGATGTCCCACGATGGCCCCAAGACGGCCCAAGATGCTGCCAAGACGGCCCAAGAGGCCTCCAAGAGGCCTCCCAAGAGAGACGGACCAAGAAGTTCCCAAAATCACCCCACGACGGCCCTAGAAGCTTCCATGACGGCCCAAGAGGCCCCGAAGACGGCCCCAAGACGGCCGAAGGAGCCTCAAGACGGTCCAAGAGGCGCCCCAGACGGCCGAAAAGGGCCCTAAGACGGTCCCAAGAGAGGCCCAAGAGGGAGTCCACGAACCGAGAACTCTACCTTTCGGCCCCGAGGGCCCCAGGAGGCCCCAAGAAGGCTCCAAGAGGCCCCAAGAGGCCCCAAGAGGCCCCAAGGAGACCCCCAAGAGACGCAAAATATGCCCCAAGAAGCTCCAAAACGGCTTCCAAGAAGCTCCAACACTGACCCGCAGACGCTGCCGAGCAGCCTGCCACGAGAAGCACCCACGGCGCTATCCACGCAGCCGCATGCAAAGTAGTGGGGGGGCCGGCGGCAGAGGGCGAAGCCCTTAAGAAATCCTTCCTACTTCCTCCCCCCTCCTCCTCACATGTCTTCCCCCCTTCACCTTGCAGGAACGAGGTTGAGGAGGGAGGAGGTGGACCTGTATAGTTATCCTGCTCCACAGATGGGCGGAGGGGACCAGGTCTGGGAAATTGCCAGAGGAGGAAGAAACGGAGGAGAAAGAGGAGGTATGGAGGGAGAGAATAGAAAACGGGGCAATAGGAGGCGGAGGGGGCCAGGATGAGTACGGCCTGCCTGGGGAATTGCTGGAGAAGCAAGCGTAGGGAGGAGGAAGAAGAGTAGGAGGAGGAGGAGGAGTGAACATTAGCACATTAAAACTTCGGAGGTCCGCGGGGATTTCTTGGATCCGCGCTGGACCCCCCTCCCTGGCGAGCCAGGGGCTGCCCCAGAGGCGCTGGGCACCGGAGCCGATCCAGGAAATCCGCGCAGATCCTCCAAAAGTGTATTTACACTTAGTTGTTTCTTCTTCGAAGGACGACGAGAAAGAGGAGGTGCCGCCTGTGCGCTGGCACTAGATCTTGGCCGGGTCCCTCCCAGCGCCCCGCAAGGTTAACAGCGCACGTAGCCCCCGGAGGAGGCGCGACTCGGCCAGGCCGGACTCGGCCGGCCGGACTCGGCCAGACTGAACTCGGCCAGGCTGGACTCGGCCAGGCTGAACTCGGCCAGGCTGGACTCGGCCGAGGCCGGACTCGGCCGGGTCCGGACTCGGCCGGGCCGGACTCGGCCGGCCGGACTCGGCCAGTCCGAACTCGGCCCGGCCGAACTCGGCCGGCGCTCTCGCTGCAGCGTGGCGCGCGGTCCGGACTCGGCCAGGCCGGACTCGGTCGGGTCCGGACTCGGCCGGGCCGGACTCGGCCGGCCGAACTCGGCCGCGGCCTAACTCGGCCAGGCCGGACTCGGCCAGACCGGGCCCGGCCCAGATCGCACTCGGCCGGGTTGCTTCAAGAGGGGTCTGTCGGGGACCTTCAGATGGAGGGATGATGGGGATGAGCAGGAGGTTTAGGATTCAGAGAGAGCGGCAAGGAGGAGGTGGGATTTCGGGGGGATCCTCCAGATTCAATGGGGGGGGGAAGGAACAGGAGGAAGAGACGGGGGGGTCTGAAGGATTCAGGTAGGAGGGGCCGGGAGGAGGTTCCGAAGCAAGTGCTCTCTCGCTGCTCTGTCAACTCGACATCTGTCGTTGACGACATTCTTCTCCTCCCTCTCCTACTTCTCTTCTGACTGTCGGGGCCCTCTTCCCTCGCTCTCGGGGGCCTTGGGGGCGCCCCTCGGGATCACATTGGAGGAGATCGACCCAAGAAAAACTGGGGCCTTGAGCTTCCCCCCCTCTCCCTCGGGAGCTCCCAAATTCGCCAATCGGCCCCTATTGGAGCGCCATTGGGGGCGCCCTTCAGTACTATTGGAGCCGTCTCGGGCCTCTCTCTGGCTTCTCTTGGGGCTACATTGGGCCCTCCTGGAGCAATCAATCGCTCCCGGACGGGCATCGAAACTAATCAGGCGGAAGGCAAGACAACACAAATTTGATTTCCTTGTACGTGTTTCAAAGATTTGGGTTTCCTGGGGCCCCCTTGGGAGGCTCCGTGGCCACGGGGGCCCGCCTTGGGGCGGTCGGGGGGTACCTTCCAGTATGTTTGCGGTCATATCTGGCCATTCCCAGCCATTTGGGAGGTCGTCTTCAGCCTCCCCGAGGCCCTCTTCGAGCCATCATGGGCCGTCTTGGGCGCGCCCATCGATCGCGGGGCGCCCCGTCCAGCTCCAGGGGAGGGGGTAATGGGGGAGGGGTGGACCACCTACCCCCCCGGCGCGGAAGAGGGAACGGGTGGAAGAGGAACCGCGTTGAACCACTTTCGCCCAGAAAGCTGGTGGGACTAGACGTGGGCTTCCAAGTGTAAAGCATGTAACGTCTGCCCTCGACGAGGGTATTCCTAATGTAACTCCTGCTCCGCATTCTCCCCCCCCTCCTCTTACACCTCTAATTTTCTTACTCCTCTTCCGCGGTGCTCTCGCCGACGGTCTTCTGCACGGGCTCACGGCTGAAGCTCCTGCGTGAGAACCGTGGGAAAGGGCGGCAGACGCGCTCAGTGCTGCCTCACTGGCGGCCCCCTTCCCCTGCTCCTCCTTCTCTACCTTCGCTTCCTCCTGTCATCCTCCTCTTCCCCTGCTCTCTCGCGCCTTGTTCACTCTCCCGCGCCATCCTTCTAGCCGCCGCGCATGCCTCCGCTGGCCGGGGGGCGCGCGGCGCCCATGGCGGAGCTCGCGGGCGCCGGCGCGGCTCTGCCACAGGATGCCCGTTTCATCGGGGAGGGGCGCCTCCGTTTTTTCTTGCTCACCTCTTTCCCTTGCTCGCTGCATGCCTTTTCCCGCCCTCGGGGTTCCGGACTGTCCCTGGGCGGCCCTTCGTTCCTGAGTGCCACGCCGCGGGCTTCCTGCTCGGGCGGGCTAGCGCGCTGCCTCTTTTTTTTGGTTTTTGCCTTTGCGCGTGGGCACCTCTCCGATGCAAATATGTTCCCCCAGGCGGGCGCAGCGCCCCCTCTTCGGCAGTTCGACCTCAACGCCTTCACTTTTGCGCACATAGCTCGGCTACCGCCTCCAGTGGAGCTTCAGGCCCTGGGGGACCGAGGCCCTTACTTACGCCTTCCACCCCGGGAACCGAGGCGTAGAGCTGAAGAGGAGTGCTTGAGGATACTGCCAGCGGGCGCGAAGACGTACTCGCCGCGCATGTTGCGCAGGATGGCTTGGGACGCGCTCATGCGCAGGCACAGGGGTCTGAACTCGTCGCCCCTACTGTCCACGCTCGCCCCACCCCGCCGGGTCACTGCCTAGCTCTGTCCCCGTTTGGGCTCTTGTATCCTCCTGGGGCAATGCCGGATGCCATGCCTCGTTCCTGCATGCTCCTTTGCTTGGCAGGTTCGTGTCGCATCGTGTCTTCCATCTTCCAGCTCTGCGCCTGTATCTCGCACGTCGCACCCCCCTTCTGTGACCCCCGCCTCGGCCCTGCGCATTCCAAACATTGGGGAAGGGTCCCTTCTTCTGACTGCCTCCGCAGGGCGCGAGCAGAGATGGAAGAGCTTCGTCGTCTGGGGGAGCATCCGCTAGCTCAACGATGGGAACGGGACATTGCAGCCGCACAACTCGCTTACAAGCGGGAGCAGGAGCAGCGCCAGGGGTCCTACTTCCTCAAAGTGCATGAGGAGGTGGTGCTCCACGCAAGTCTGATGTCATGGATCGACGGGGCCTCGGGCCGCGAGCGTGGCCCGGCAAGTGCCTCTCGAGCGTCTCGTTGCCCTGATGTGCCGGTCGTGGCAGCGTCGCGCCTGGCTTCGGCGGTCGCCGCGGCTTCCGTCGCAAGCCCGCAGCG